TTAGTGTGTGAAATTATCAAAGGTCTTCGTTTTATATGATGGTGGTAAAATTTACCATCAAAATGTACTAAAAGCACAAAAGCTCGCATTATATCAGTTACCGAACACACATTTAATCATCAATTAAATTTTACAAAGAAAAAGTAAGATACAACATCTTAATTACGTTTGAAATTGGGATCGATGGTTTGTCAGTGATGAAATTGTCGTCCTGTCGAACTCTTTCTGCAACGATAGCCACAGAGTAGTATCACGTGTGGTATCGTGACGTAACACTGTAGTACTCTATACGCACAGCTAAATGTAACACTAACTGTTCACAAATGTATCTATGGTTTTTCTCCTAACTATTTACGGTTTTCTCGACCAACTATCCCTACACGTACAACACGTTCAGGCCCGTAGCCAGCTTCTTCCAAAGGGGGTTTTCTGGGTGTGAGGTCCACAGTCGAAGCCCCGGTGGGTTCGGCGAAACCTCCAAAGCAAGAGGACTTTTGTGCTTTATGGGTCTAAATAATGCTATAAAAGCAGATATGTTTGAAAATGTCTGTGTCTGGGTGGGTCTGCAGTGCATTAGTTGGGTTGGAGGACTTATTTAGGAAATTTAAAGAGGGGGTTTCGCCAGAAAGGTGGGGGGCTTGCTAGAAAAGGGGGTTCTTCCGAACCATGGTTAGATTTATGCATTTATTCATATAATAATTTTCACTAGTGTATGATACACAACTCTACTAATTGCTTAGTATTGGAAACATGTTAACGACATTAGTTTAGATAAATGTGTTGTAAAAGGTAAACCCATCTAACAAAATTCCGTGAATAAGCCTATTACATAGTGCGAATAATATTGCCTTGCACATTAACGCAGCTACATACAAATCAATGTGTATTAGGCCTAACTTTCAAAGAAATGAAATTAACGATCAGTATTTTTATGGGTACTGATGTTCTTGAAACGGTAGCTGGGATTGAAGTACTGTATCAGGGATATGGGTTCAAAGTGACCTTAAATGGCCCAGAAATGTTATAGATTTTTTTTTTGGCAAGGGAGGTAAACGTCTAAATATTATGTTATCCAGACTTAATTGGCTTGGGTAGCCATAGATAATGGTTGCTATATCAAACGTACATTAGAACATTAGGGCCAACATCTCAGCAACATTGAATTGAATCTGTGCAAAGGCGTGTGTGTAAGATAATTTTGGGTTGGGATTATGGTCATTACGGAAGGGCACTGAACACATTGGGGTTAGTAAAATTGCATACTCGTAGGATTAATCTGTGTTATTAGTTTGCAGCTGGTTGTTCGTACAGAGATACTCGTGGCGTCGCGTTCTTCGTGGAATCGCTTCGGCAGACGGCCGTCGTGCGCAGTGAGTGGCCAGCCTAAGATGGTTAAGAAATGACTTCATTTCACTTCATATAGTACATGTATTTCAGCTGTGAGACAAGTTTCAAGAAAAGTTATAATATATAAAATCACTTTATTTCGAAACAAAACAAAGGAAAACATACAAAGCCTAGGTCATGACCTTATAAAGGAACACGCAAGGTAAACAGACAAAAAACAGTTACAAAAGCAGATGACAAGTAAACAGGAAAAAAATACTCTCTGATTAAAAATTCGATAAAGTTCATTGCCTTGAGAGAACTTGAGTTAGCATTGAGAGAACTATGGGTGTGATGACTATAGGTATACAACAAATACAATTTCTTTTTGTATATAGTTAGGGCTAATGTCAAATCATACTCCCCGTTGAGTGGTCCAGGTCTGGTGCTGGTTTTGATAGGAAAGTTCGTGCCGTCGTTGAAAGTATAACAATTACCGTACAAATAATTGTATGTGTAGGTGAATTTACTGGGAACAGAAAAAATATAGCCCTATTTCTATACAAGATACAATTTTCTATATTTTTCAAAAATACACTGAAGAAGAGACATTATTAAAGCCTATTTTTCCTTGATGCTCAATATAGGCCCTATTTATTATTTATTTATTTATTTATTTATTTAATTTTTTGATAAACTACCGGTAACAATATTCTTTAAGAATAAGAAACAACAAAAATAGAATTTCGTCATTATTAAAAAAGTATAGGACTATTGTTTGTTTAGAGATGTGTAACAATATCAATATTTAAAAGGGTACAAGATACACATTCAACAGGTCATACGAAAGATTATTTAAAAAAGGATGGATAAAATTGTACATAAAAGTACAGAATAAAATTGGAATACCAAGAGCATTGCCATTAAAAAGTACTGTGCACTGTAATACCGTACTAAAATAAGTTAAAATGTTACCATGACTAAAAAAACGCATTCCATTCATTCATTCATTCATTCATTCATTCATTCATTCATTCATTCATTCATTCATTCATTCATTCATTCATTCATTCATTCTTTCATTCATTCATTCATTCATTCATTCATTCATTCATTCATAATTTTATTCCGATGAAATAATGAAATAACTGTTTTATGATAATTTTGAAATACTTACAATAAGATAATTGCGAAATAATTGAAGGTCTTCGTTTTGTAGACACCCATATATGAGTGTCTATAAAAGGAAGACCTTGATTAATTTCACAAACTAAAGTTCAAATAACCTCGTAATTGTGATTTTGTGACAGCCAGGTGTATTATCATCAAAACAAAAGAGAAAAAATAGGGGTCTTCGTTTTTGGGTCTTTGGTCTTCGTTTTATAGACACCCATATAGGGTGTCTATAAAACGAAGACCCTTGAGTATCTCTTAATATTCCGATGAAATAATGAAATACGTACTTGCCAACTGTTTTATGATAATTTTGAAATACTTACAATAAGATAATTGCGAAATAATTGAAGGTCTTCGTTTTTCAGGTCTTCGGTCTTCGTTTTGTAGACACCCATATAGGGTGTCTATAAAACGAAGACCCTTGAATATTTCACAATCATACGCCTAAAAAATTACGCAATTTTGATTTTGTGACAGCCACGTTCATTATCATCAAAATAAAATAGAAAAAATAGGGGTCTTCGTTTAGATGTCTGTATATAAACTAAAATCGTACCTTATATGAAGCTGTAGTTTTCACGGCGTTGTTCAACACCTTCTGCTTTTGTAAGTAAGAATATCGTATGCCATTCATGTTGCATAGATAGTAACGACAGGAAAAGAGAGGGCAGGTGTACTTTTAATGTCAATGTTGGTAGTAACTTTCCAATCGCAGTAGGCGTCTATGAGTGAATAAATTTGCCATACACACACGGAAAATGATGCTAGAAAGGCGAACATCCACAGGAGACGCCTCATCAGCGTCTGAGCCCGCTTTATGTTAGGGATACCGTACGCTGAGATGTTCTCCATAGAAGCTGTCTCTTATACACATCTAGATGTGTATAAGAGACAGATCTACGCCTATGCTTAAAGTAGTAAAACAGTAAACAACGCAGCTAGCTAGCCGCTGGCACACCGCAACGTTTGCGATAAGATAAGATATAGAACAGTAGTTTTATGTGCGATCTGCATACAGATATCTGTACAAAAAGTCAAGGATGTATCAGTACTTTAACTATGTTCATCCGTGGGCACCCATTACAGAGAAGCCATGTATGTTTTGTTATTTCCTTTTCAATCAATCAATCAATCAACAATGATTTGTATTAGTGCCAACACCCACGGCAGAATGCAATTCAAAGTGCACATTAACTACCGAGAATTTATAACATTATTATTTATTATTGTAAGATAACGAGAAAAAATTTACAAGTATGTCCAAAAACTTAGTATGGGACGGAGAAAAGTTAAAAGTATGAGACAGAGAAAAGTTAAGATTTTATTTTTTTTTCTTAAAGACATTCACATATGGTAAGGTTTTCATCTAAAGAAGTAGGACATTCCATAGTGTAGGGGCAGCACATTTAAAAGTACGTTCCCCAGGCCTAGACTTGCTCAAGAAGGTGCGTGTTTGTTGATCTAAGAAGGCGAGAAGCAGATTTAAGTCAGGATTTGAATTGTATCTATGGACCATTGAGTGTCTTATACGTTATAAGCAATATCTTTAAAGATTTGCGTTAATTGGTGTTAATCCAATGTAGTTTTTCAAGAACAGGGATTATATTGTGTTTTCGCTTCATGATTTTTAATTTTTTTTTTACAGCTGTGACTTTGTGTATGTGGCAAGTCATAGGCCTACTGAAGTTCATTATAATAGTCAAAACGTGAAGTAAATTCAGTGAACAAGTTATTTTTATGTATCAATAGATACATACTTGTGGATGTTTCGGATCTGTCATAATTATAAATGGATTGAGCGGCAGGTTGTAGAAATATGCCGAGTATAACTCAAATTGATTATTAAAAACTACGCCAATGTTTCTAACTAAGTAAATTGCGGAAACCTGAGAATCCAACGTAAACCTGAATTTTACTTTGCTTCACCAAATTTAATAATTAAGTGTTTAGTAAGTGGAAGACATGAAACATGATCATGAGCTAACTTCTACCTATTTGAGTGTATTTTTAATTTCGCCGTGTCTATCGATACGGTACCGTATCTTAATTCCCGTTTGTTAAAGGTACAAGGTTGTTATCAAGGATAAAACATTGTAATATTTACAATTGTATTTTAAATGTATTTTTATAAGACCGCGACATGGGATACGGTAACTATAACAATTCCCTGGTTAGTGCATTGTGCAACAATTATAGCGAGCGATTACACAAGGCTTCATGAACAATGACGTCACACTGTTGGCGGATGATGAAATTAACCGTACCTTTAGCAAACGGAAGATAAGACGGTACCTTATCCCTAGCCACGGTGTTTTAATTTAGTATATTTTCTGTGACTGCATTTAACATCGGGTCCGAATTTCTGATTATTTTTTCTGCGTTTTCGGAGCACTGGGTGAAGATTTACTATTCTTATATACTGACTCGAAAATTCGGTCAATAGATTTTGACTTGAACTCACGCCCCTTAAGATGTCTGTATATAAACTAAAATCGTACCTTATATGAAGCTGTAGTTTTCACGGCGTTGTTCAACACCTTCTGCTTTTGTAAGTAAGAATATCGTATGCCATTCATGTTGCATAGATAGTAACGACAGGAAAAGAGAGGGCAGGTGTACTTTTAATGTCAATGTTGGTAGTAACTTTCCAATCGCAGTAGGCGTCTATGAGTGAATAAATTTGCCATACACACACGGAAAATGATGCTAGAAAGGCGAACATCCACAGGAGACGCCTCGTCAGCGTCTGAGCCCGCTTTATGTTAGGGATACCGTACGCTGAGATGTTCTCCATAGAAGATCCCACGACCACAACCACATTAGTTTCATTGTTATTGTTCTTCTTCGCACCAGTTAGTTCCTGGATTATCGTCATGTTCGTTTCTGCTGGAGATTGATCGTTCTCAATCCGCATACACTCACAAATTCAGGTGTTTGGTATTGAAAACTACTGAGGCAAATAATTTTCCATTACTTCTTAGCATAGAAATTGAAGATAATGGTTTAAAAAAATAATTATAATATAAACATAATGAATGATAATAGCACTGTCAACTAGTCTCCCAAGCAAAGTTGCTTTTAGAATCTCACCCTTACACATTCTACGCCCACCCAACCCTTTTAAGGTACAAATTTACCCCCTGCACTAAGAAACTCGTACCAGGAAACAATGAAATTCCACTGTTCCCGCTCGTACCCTATCAAACTCGCCTCTATAATTAACTGCGATGGGATTCAATCAACTTAATTCGAATGTCCATCTTACCTTGCGAATTAATTTATTTTATTCTGATGGTCCGCTTCATTTACCTTTACGACATTAGCAAAACACAATGAGTTGTACAAATCACAGTTGTGTCGCACCACAGCCTGGCTGGAGTATATAATGATGTGTCCAATGTCAGACAGCACCTCACTGGCAGTAACGACGATAGATGGCGCAGAAGTTCCTAAGTATAGTGAAGTACTCCTATTACATTACAAGTGTAAGTGTAAGTGTGATATGAATTTTATTTTTAGTGTCTTATATGGATTAGGCATACGTTAGATGCAAGTTTGCAAACATTAAAGGATTGATTTTCTTTTATTCCAAACCTGATAATAATAGGCCGCATTATAATTATAATAGTAATAATAGTGACGATAACGAACAAAAAATAAAATTAAAAAAAACAAAAAAAAATAAATAAATAAATAAAACAACTAAAACAACAATTATATTGATAAGTAAAAATGAAAATAAATTATATTACACATCAAGTCTAAAACTATCAGTAGGCCTAGCCGCATATATATACAATTTTTTAGCTTGCATACATTGAATTTTTACTCCCCTATATCAATGATTGCCTGCGTGCAATAGATAACTGACGATGGTAGTGGACTGCCGAAACATGTCTTATTGGAGCCGTTAAGGCCATAACTTATTGGATTAAGTACTGTATACACAAAACACCATTATTACGTTGTGTATCATTTGATGTATATAGTCTTACCATCATCATTTTAAACTGTTTAAAATCACTATATTCTTTATTTGAAAGAATATTTTCAGTTGGGTTTGCAAAAAACCATGATATGATAGACATATTTGAATGTTTTGTTTTCCAAATGTTTTAGAACAGATTACTGTATGATGTTACTGATTCTATCCAAATATCCATTATAAAAACATCCTACTAACATTATCGGTATTCGATATTAATCACCGTATGCAGGTTATTATTGGACCGGCCAACGAGAATTCCAAACGCCGTCCCCTCAACTTCACCTAAGACGCCAATGAGGATGTCGTTCATTGACGGATGATCCACATCTTGGTTGGGGTTTAAGTGAGGATGTTTTTTTCGAAACTCTCGTTGTGCAAATCGTTTGTGTCCTTGGGCAAGGCACTTTATATACGGTTGCCTCTCTCCACCCAGGAGTGGGTACCTGGTAGGTTCGAACACAACTGCGCTGATTACTAGCTGCAATATTATGGAATTCTCCACGCGGAGCTGAGTATGTGCTCCATTCGTGTTTGATCAAATGGCCGGGGTAATAATATGTTCAGCGCATTGAGAGCTTCCTTATATGCGCTCTATAAGAATGAACTATTATTTATTATTATAATAATAATAATTTTTTTTTTTTAAAGTACCACTAGATGCCCGGAAAGGTACTCTGAGACTATATTTTCCCAATGAGGGTAGAGGTTGTTTCCCAACTGTTTGGTAGTACAGGTGTTTTCCCTCTTCCGAAATATAGCCTTTTTGGAAACGTGTCTTAAAAAATCACTATTCTTATCGGTTTTACTCAAGAACAAGGGGAACATGATAATAAGTGGGCAAGCATCCAGGTTTGACAATGTTATAACTGAACACAGAGGTTCGTCTTTTCCTTTAATATGAAAAGAAGGGTGCAAGTGAATCACTTTGCGCCAACTTGATAATAAAGACAATACCGGCCCAGGTATTACAACTGTGTGATCGATACTTGAGGTATAACTACAATGGGTCTTGCTTGGATGTTCAGTTCTTCCAAGCTCGATAGATATTCTGGTGTGATAATGGTTTATCACCAGGCAACAAAGCGAATCTAGAATGAGCTGTCACTGACTTTTAATGACATCTGCCGCGAAAACGATACTTACGGAGTCTGGTGGGTCGCTGGTAACCTGCAGGATGACGGTATGTGGAATATTGCAAAGAGCAGCGCAGTGGTGACATCTGGTTGAGATATTTTCTACGAAGGCATCCATGTCGAGAGTGAAGAAATTTCTTTGGACGATTGTTTTGAGTTAGTGGCATGACAGATGGTCGAAACGCAAATGGAATGCCTTAAGTATGGCCTTCGAGAACGTGGTGTGTGTGGCCTTCGAGAATATGGTGTGAGTGGCTCGCTCCTGCGAAACACCAGAGATTGTCCTTGGCTATGATAAGCGCTTGACATCTTTTATATTCGTGATTTGTTTTGTGAGAAAGCGTACCCTTGGAGAGGTAAGTGTGAGTGCGTCGTAGGACTGAACATTCTGATTGGATGGCTTTTCAAGCATAGCGACTGGTAACTTGTAGTTTTCTGGTGCCAGAGATAAATGTCCTGGCATACAACTGAGTCAGATTTTGCAAGTAGAAGCGTCACAAGTTTGTGTATCCCTACTTCCCAAGTCAGATGGCATGTTTGCGGAGCCGCCAGGTGGGGGACTAATGAGTGATAGCGACTGAGAGTAGACAGGAAGGTCAACACCTGAGGGCTCTTCCATAGTTCGCCCTGGCAAAACGTTTTCAAAAGCTTGGACACATAGCTTAAAGTATGTTAAGGTGTTGGTTTGATGTACCGATTGGATGATATTAGGTCTGAGGTTCACAGGATTGATTGGGCTTTTGAAGAATTCGCGAGTAATTCATCGGACCAGTCTATTGTCTCATGAGATTGTCGTCCAGCTGCGAGAGGTGACAGGAGTCGTGCGCATCCTAAATGCCCTAATAAATGGTCGCAGCCCGGTCATTGTAAAAGGTCTTGGGCAACTAAAATGTGTGGCGATGCGATAGGAGCTGGCTCGAAGTGTTCTCTGACGTCAAATCCAAAAATGTTAGTAGTCATATGGCAGGTGATTGTTTTGGTAGCGGATAAGTGCAGTCCTGAGTTAAATATAGCGAGGAGTACCTTCTACATGTACTCACAGCCTCTTTTACGGTTTCTCCTCCGCAGTTATGTCATTGGCAAGAGTGGCACCTGAACCTTCTTCTACAAATTCACCCAGTAATCTGCTCAGAAGGTCATCTAGGGCGGTTTCTGATTCCAGCATAAAGAAGTATTTAGTTCTTGAACACGTGGATAGGCCTACTTCAAGATGGCTGCGGGAATTTGGTCTTGATTAGGAGACTTATTGTTGCTAATAGTTGAGACACATTTCTGAGTTCTTCAAGAGTAAATGTGAGGTGTCAATCGGGAGTCAGCTACTTTGTTGTTGAAAATGGGTCAGAAAGGTCTATATTTGAATGTTGACCATTAAAAAGTGTGTAAAAGAGTACCTACAGTTGATTCTGTCAGAGCTGGAAGATCCTTTCAAACGGCAGAGGAACAGATTTCTTTCTAGTTATCTCAAGGTAAAGGTACTGTAAGAGAATAACCAATAACTCGCCGCGTCATTGTGCTGAATTGCGTATGGGTGTGGTCTGTGACTACCTTACTTCCTTAAAAAAGGGCTGAGTGGTATCTACGTGTCCTTATCCGAGAAGAATTTGTTCTACAAACCGAACCCTCGTAAGGAGCGGCCCGAAACTGCGTCGATATTAGGGCTGTAGTTAGTGGCGCCTCTGCCTTCCGCTGGCCACTCGACTTGCCAGAACATTTTAGGCATGTGCATGCTTCTTTTGTTCGTGGGCATTCTGAAGCTCATCTGTTTTATTTTTCAGATAGTTTTCGAGTGAGCTGGAGTAGGCAGAATCTAGTCTTCGTTTGACAGCTTAAAATTTCGATCGTGTGCCTCTGGTTGGATGACATCGACTCATTTGTTATGCAGTTTTTCTCTAGCCAGTTGAATTACATTATTGTTGAATATTGGTCCGTTAGACATCTTATATTTTCGTCGTTTAAGTAGTGTTTCTGTGGTGACTTGCTTGTCTGCAGTGACATAGGCAGACTTCTCAAATGCTATGGAACTTTCGTAGTTGCTACAGAAATTTTGCCTAATTACGGCCGTAAATTAATAGACAAAAATACTACGGAAATTTATCATATAGGCCTAGATAACGCATTCTTGTCAGATTACTGATAAAATTTGTGATAACTAAGAAAAAGTGGCGCGTAAAGTTTTATCAACTTGGGAAGTCTCCTGGGGTGTTTGTCCGAAAGAGCACCAAAACGATTGTGATCAGCAATTGCATATTCTTCTTGAAGATTATGGTCTCCAGTCAAGAGCATTCATGGGGTCCTGCTCCCGGGTTTTAGATTGTCTGTAGCTGACTTTACAGCTGCAGGCGACAATACGATGATCAAAGCCAACTATGTCTCAAAACTGTTGTATGCATGACAGTCCTTGATGGTGATCTACAACATTTCCTAACTAGTTAATAATCTAGTTAGGCTCTTATGT